GACATAATTCTCAAAGGTGAAAGTATTTGAGATGGAAAATGGACAGAATAATCATTTAGGTAGCATCTAGGAATATTGCTACAATTACTTTACATAAATAGAAATCCATGTCTTTATTAGTAAGGTTTCACGTCTTGGAGTAAAAATTCACATAGGACAGGCTTATAAATATACATAAATCTCAAAATCAATAACAATTGAACATTAGGTACACAATTATTATAAAACAAATATAACCCATCGGTGTCTATTTAAAGGCATAGTTTTTTACAAAATAGTATTTGTAGACAGTCTCAAAAAAGTATATGAATACTCCTGGAGCCAGACTATTCCAGCATGTCAGCATGTCTGTGGGAATAAGGCAAGTGGGGAAGCTGCACTCACTCTTCCAGATGGCAGACATCGTATGTGATGAAACGGTAACTACTCCAGTGACCCGGGTGAATGCCACAACACCCGCCACACCCCATGACCCTAGGGAATCATCGCTTACCCTCCAGAAGAACGGACCTTAACAGCTATTTGCCTAATGGCAAATATCCTGGGGGGGGGGGGGGGGGGGGGGGGGGAGAACTGAAAACAATCCAGCATCAGTGTATTTTACGTGAAAAATCTCAAAGAGCCTGAGGAATCACTTCAATTTTCAGTCTGCAGACATACTTAAAATCACATTAGCATAGCCTCTACTTTGTGACAAGGAACTTCTACTCAAGTCGTTTGTTAAGTATAAAAACAAAGAAGTCCAACTTGAAACTAAATACCTGAATAGGGAATCTAAATACAAATCAGGTACAGGCTGTATCAACATGCCATTTACTCTGTTAACATTAGCTTTAGTTTCTTAACTAAACGTATAGAAAAGTCAAACTCAACAATGATACGTTATATACTTTTAACAATTCATAGAATGTTGAGTGGTGGAGGCAAGGCTTAAAAAAAGGAATCCTTTCTACAAACTAAATTCCTATAAACTAAAGGGTAGTTTTGCCTGCAATCTGCACAATGTTTTTTATCTCTTGGGTTTTACAGTGTTCAAGAGATCAGAAATAGGAACAACCCTGACAAAGACCTTCACATGGGTATGGCATGTAAATATAGAGATTTATGTATATCTTATCATGTATGTACAAATATATATACAAACACACTGAGATTAATCCAGCTGTTCACTAAACATAACCAATTCTGTTTAGAGAACAAGGATATACACTTATATACAATTATATACAACAAAGTATACACATCTCAGCATCTGGCCTAGTGCAGGGGCTCCTGAACATTTTTCCATTAGGATACACAAAGGAGAGGCTATAGTCATGTGTGTAAAACTCTCCCCTGGGTGTAACAGATTTAGATAACCCTTGAAAAGAAATCTACAGGGAAATAAATTATTCTTAAACACTGTAATCCCCACCATGAAGAGCAATTCGACAGTAAAAGTCATTCATGATTTCCACAGCTCAGAGTATTTAAAACTGCTGCTCACTCGGTTCTGAATTTACTGCAACAGAGCTGAGGAGCGGAAACGGAGACTGCAAAGCCTAAAATCTTTACCATCTGGCCCTTTACAGAAAAAGTATGCAGACCCCAGGCTGGAGCCAAGAAGGACACACAACCTCAGGGGTAACATCTTGGAAACACAAAATCCAGAATATAGGTGGTAAACTTAATTACAGAAGTTGTAGGAAAAACTATCTGGGATGAAAAATCTATCCTGAGTGGTCCCAACTTTCCGATTTCCTTAACAACAAAAGCCAGCTTAAGATCATTAAATATGGCTCCTGCATTTTGTTTTTGAAATCATGGTTATAAATTCAGCTTTGAGACTACAGTGGCACAATAAAAGGGCACTGGGTTCCAAACAAGAAGACCTGAGGTTTTAGGTAAATCACTTCTAAAACTTAACTAAGACAAATACATTCTTCCAGTATTGTCCAATCTATACATTAAAAAAAAAACTATTAAAAGCACTAAAATGACTGATAAAACAAAGACTAAATGTTTTTAAGAAGGAAGTTGAAATAAACCGTACCCCTTTCCCCAAATAGAACTATAAAAGTCCTCCTGTTTATTGTGAATCAGTAAAGAGAGGAAAAAGCACCTACCTAATTTGAGTGTGGAGAGTGGGTTCCATTTAATAAATGTGTAGGATAATGTGGGGTAATCCACATTAAGTGCTTAGAACAGCACTAAATACATTTAGCTGTTATTATTCTCTTCAGGAATTTTATAAAAAAAACTGGTTAGGCATCTCCCCTGTGACAAGTAGTATGCTGGAAAATGGGAATATAGAGATAAAATAGAAATTTATTTTTGTGATAGGTAAGAATAAATGAAATTGAAGGCTACAGAATTTTAATTTCAGTGTGCCTATAACGATTCTGTGAAATGACAGTGCAATGCCGTTCCGCATCCCTGGCCTGTGAATTCTTATTTGTGAACAACCATTATTGTTAAAAATATCCACTAAGTTTCACTGTAGGATAAAATAGCATGGCTAGTAACCATCTTCCTATTTGTGTTTCAGAAGTTCAGTGTTCACTAAAGAAATGGTTTATGGTTTGATCACAAGTGGGAGCATACAAAAATGTTGGCTGGCCAGTTTGGCACTATATACGAAATATAAGCCTCTGAACCAACCAAACTAGGCACAGAAGTACAGTCATTTACTTATTCTGTTGAACAATGTTTGCTGAATGCCTACTGTGTAGCAGTGCCTGTTACAATGATGAGGAACAAGAAATGGTCCCTGCATCAGGGAGCTAGCAAGGGAGGGTGAGCAAGAGTTTGAAGTGCAATGAGTAATACGATGGGGAAGCCCAGTGTGCTGTGGGAGCACACAGCGGGGACCAAAACCTATCTAGTCCAGGGGAGTGGAGGAAGAACAATTGAAGCCGTGACCTGAAACATAAGTAGGAGTTCAGCAAGCACTGAAGTGTAAGATGTCTGGGCACAGGCAACACCATGAGAGGTGAGTGAGAGCAAAAGATGATTTTGGAGGTAATCAAAATGGTTTGCAAAAAAAAAAAAAAGAAAAAGAAAAAAATGGTTTGCATTGTACCCTGGTGGCAGTAAGAAGTCAGAGAACGTTCTAAGCACAAATATGCAAAACTGGTCATCAAAGTAAAATAATTTGTGGAAAAATTAGCTTGACTTGAAATGTAAGCAGAAGGAAAATCCGTTAATTTATTCATTCCCTGCCTGCTACAGAGGCTAGCCTGTCTCTCTTTAGTCTCAATCTATTTATAGCTGAAATACTATATACATGAGCATGAAGTATAAAAATATTTGCCTTCTTATATACAAGGTGGGTGCCTGCCTACTCCGTATCCTTACTACTAAACAACAGCTACAACTTAAAAGGTGTGCACAGGCCATCCTCAGCTGGAAGCAAGCAGAGGGCTTAGTTCTGTCCGAGGCAATCACAGTGAGGTGGAGCCACAGACTTGAACGAGATGACCTGAGTTTGAAGCCTACACCCAACTCTTTCGCTCACTAAATGTCATTTAATCCCTCTACATCTGCAAGAGGATTATTTCTCTTACATTCCTCGGATGCACCTGGTAAACCATGTCACAGAATCTCGATGTTTTCCTTTTTTTTTTGTACAGTTCCAGAATTCGAAAGCTCTCTCCCCAGGTGGACTTTCACCCTGATGTGAATTCCAAGGATGGCATTAGAAATCACAGTCTCCAGTCTTGTTTAATCACAAAATCCACAAAGTTGGAGCCAGCTCTAAAGCAACAAGGGGCAGGGATGCAAACCAGAGGACTCCAAAATTCTACAATGCAAATCCATCAGCAATTAACTATATCCATAGACTCTTTTCCTCTGAATGGGCTGTTAGCAGAGACGTTTGGAACAAAGGAACATTTGGGTTCCTCTGAAAAAACAGAATGCATTAAGTCTAGGAATTATTATAAATTATGCTGACTGCTGGTCCAATTTACAAGTCTGAATACTTTGAATGGATAACTCCAGATGAATTCACTTTAGGGGTTATTTCCCATTTTCTAAAGAAAAATGTCATCTTAAAAAGTTTCTACTCCAAATCTCCACAATCTTCAAAAATGTGGATTTATTTTCAAAATGCCTTACATTTTTATTAAGATGCTTTGCCTATTATAATACATATTTAATCATACACCCAGTGGATGTCAACTCTTGACAATACAATTAGCTGTAACCACGGATGAATACCTTAATTTATAAAATACAGTGATAGAAGAGTCCAAATTCTAATCACTAAGAATGCCCATGTTTTTTTTTATCATTAATATAGTTGTACATCTTCAGGTACACTCACAGTTCCTTTTCTAACCTTTCCAAACAGCAATAAAAATATTTTCTTGTAACTACTCCCTGATTGAGAAGAAATTGCAAGTAAATACGAACCATTTTCTTATCATTGTAACCTTTCCCTTTCTCCCCATCAGCTGTATAAATATTCAAACACATTTATGGAAATTTGAAACTTCTTCTGCCCAAAAGGCTGGTCGTGAACCAGGACCATCCAGTGAAGTTCTCTTTAGTAATGCTTCAGGTAACTCTATTGAGCTGTAGTCGGAAGAGTAAAGGTTGTTTAGAGACCCTGTGCCTAGCTCCTTCTCTGCCTTGTTATGTGTTATCTGACCAAGTAGCCAAGGCCACATGGCATGGGTGTCACCAAAAAGGCAGCTTTCTTCAACTTCAAATCTCATTCAATACGCTGGCACTAATAAGTTTCATCAAGCCAACTCAGAGATGGTATGAAAGCTGAAATAAGAAAACACATTTGAAAGTGCTTTGAAAAATTTTAAGTAACTACTTTCCAAAAGTATGGGATCAATATTAAACAATCTTCTTTGATTAGAAAAGAAGCTTGCTCTTTCCTCCAAAAAGCTGAAATCATAGAAGTCTTTTTTTAAATAATAAAAACTAAAATTATACTGCATACTCTTTAGAAATATATTATACTAAGACTTTCTAATCCATTTAATATGTTGGCTTTGCAGCTGTGGTTAAGGAGTTCCCATCAACAGGTAGAAGGTCAGGGCAACAATGAGAAGCAAACAAAATGGAGAAGAGAAGGTTTGATAGGCAGCCGATGGCATAAAAATGTCTTCATACTTGTAAATACTGACAACACGCTCTGAAGTCGGTGGTGAGTCTATATCATGTCGGGTGATAGAGCCTTTAGGAAAGAAAGGAAAAGGAAGGGGGTAGTCAAAAAAAGCGCACAGATTTAAAATGATGTATGCAAACAACAGAAAAACTAGACAAGTCTTTCGCATTGAATACATAAGCGGGGATTATAAAGATCTGGAATCAGGTATTAGAATTATCATCAGAATTCTCCATAATGTTTGTACATACACAGAAATAGAAAGAACATAAAAAGTAGCTAAATTTACCCCAAAAGGCTGGCTTTCATGAATCCACACCCCCCTACCAGAACAATACCATTGATCTATTGCACCCCACTTTGTTGCTTCTTAGCACTGTATGAATGCCTACTTACAAGGTGTCTGATGACTTTTATCTTACTAATACCAAATGAAAAACCGTATTTTGATTTTAAGCAGCAAGAGCTACTATTTGTTCCCTCAAACAGATCTTTTATATAATGGATCATCAACAACTCCTGATCATGTCATACTTGCTTACAGATGGAAGTCTCTTTCATTGTCTGTGGTACAGGAAGTGGTGGCCTGCCCGGGCCAGACCAGAGAGTGTGCGGTGTGCTATGTGTGCATCTGTATGTCTGACAGGCAGAGTGAGGTGGAATAGCAGAGAAAGTAGGAGGATTCAGATACCAAACAAGTGTTTGGACTGGAGACTTTTTTTTTTTTAATCTGGTGAGACATGTAAAGAGAGGAAGGCTGTGTGTATGCGATGCTTAATAAGCTGAAATTGATTCAAAGTGCCTGACCTCCTGAATAAGTCACATGGACCTCGGGTTAAGGAGACTACAGGCATGTGAGTTCAATACAAAGGTCTCCTTAGAAATAGGGCTCAGAGGGGCGCCTGGGTGGCTCAGTCGGTTAAGTGTCCAACTTCA